CTGTGCCATCTGCTGAACAATTTTAGATAGCATTTCTCATAAGTACTCTGGGTCTCTCATGTTCTTTGCTTGATTTTATACATCTAGACAATATGTTATCAGACAAGCATTTCCTATGTAATTTAACAAGGTCATAAAAAATAAATATGTCTTCCAGATTCCCTGCACATAATTATGAGCCGTTTTCTATCCACACATTTATATAATTAAGCACTTAATTAAGCATTTTTGTGAGTTAAGTTAAAATTACAGATGTGAAAGACCCTAAAATAAAAAATAAAAAAAATAAAAATAAAACGTCCATTTATATTAATGCATTAAGAAAACAAACTGTAGCTGTCATATTTATTTTAGTATGTTCAAAGCACGTTGTCAACCATTTGCTACTGGTGGGAATTATTTACCAACTAAATTCATGTAAATCGTCAAAAAAGTATATGTAAGAAAACATTTGACTAACTTAAACTACATGCTACAAGATCTTCTCTTAGATGTACTTACAACCAAAATCTAACATAGCTAAACCATGTTTTAGTTAATTCATAATCAAAATCATATATAGTTCAGTTTGTTTTATAAAGCAATACAAAATGTAATTGTTTTTGGAGAAGATTTGAAGAGTATAAAGAGTGTATTTGTATAAATAAATACATTTAGTCATTGAAGTATACCCTTCCATGTTACAACGTTATGCATTGTGGAATGTGAGTTAGAGTTGGGGTATGTGTTCCATTGTGTGAGACTGTTCCTGTACAAACCAATCTCAAAGTGTGCAGCCTAAATCCAAAGAACACGGCTATGTTAAGGATAGGAAACACTTCACCTTAACCTGAGACATGACTACATGGCAATCTCTGCAGAGATGAAAAGTTAAAGCTTACCTTTTATAAGTGATATTATAATTAGAAAAAGACTAACTATAACTATGTACAATTACAATGAATTGAATAATGTATTTATCTACTCCAAATTCTAAATGGTCACAGGTCTTTCTTCCTAATAGGTTAAGATAATAGTGTGGTAAAATGATAATCAGGCTTTTCAACTGTTTATATAAGGACTGGAGGTATATAGTCATGGAAAAAGGAAATTACATTTTAGGACATATCAATCATCTGTTCCTTGGCAGGTCTTATAATTAGGTAATACAACCTCAGATGAACAACAGATGGCATATTACACCGTGTCATGATTTATTTAACAAAAATAAAGTTAAAATGGAGAAGCCATGTGTGAAAAACAAAGTACACCTTATGATTCAATAGCTTGTAGAACCACCTTTAGCAGAACTTGAAGTGATCGCATTTTGTATGACTTTATCAGTTTCTCACATTGTTGTTGAGGAATTGTGGCCCACTCTTCTTAACAACACTGCTTCAGTTCATTGAGGTTTGCTGGTGTAGCGGAGAGCTGATTTCTCACAGCTAAACTCCACCAAGTACTTTAAGAGGATGCAGGAACAAGTAATAAATCCAAGAGAATATCCAGCACAATCAGCATTACAATCTAATAATATCCATCACTTTCCCCAATCACTGGACGACACACAGTATCAGGAGTAGAACTGACTTTTAATCACACAACCTTCTTTTAATGCATTCTCCCATGCAAGGGAGGGATTTACAGTAATTACACAATACACCAATCATACACGAGTTGCCACCCACACATCCCCTCCCCTTAGTGTGACACATAATCCCATTATGTAGGACACACTTCCCCTTGTTTTCTGGATGTACCCCTAAACCTAGGAGTACCCCTTTAAATATTGCATCCCCTGGTACCCCTGATCTGGGTGAAACACATATCCAAAAATCACCCAGATCAGATCAGGGGTTCAGGAGTTATAGGGGTTTAAAGTTTTGTGGAGGTCCCTTTAGGCCCACTGAAGCATGGCTTTCCAGCCCAAACCAGTTCCAAGTAGTCTGGCAGTGTGCCTGGGACAACGCCCTGCTGGAGAACAATGGGACAGGAAACGGGGGAGGGGTACACTTTCCTATACACAATCCATACACAGTCCAACAGAAGTCCATATACTGTGCTTAAAGGGCCAGTAGCCGCATAATAAAAATCCATCATGCCCAAATACTGTCTTTAAAGGGCAATACCCCCAGGGCCATAGTCACATGGCAGGAGGCGGCCAAGCAAGCCTCTCCAAAAGCTCATGGCAAACTCTCTTAAAGGGTTGAGTTTGCTACAGCTGGCATATGTTTATGCACAGCTTTTTTAAGGTCCTACAACATTTCATACCTGTTGAAGTCTGGACCTTTTCATACACCGCATTTCATACCTGTTGAAGTCTGGACTTTGACTGGGCCATTGCAACGCCTTGATTCTTTTCTTTTTCAACCATTTTTGTTGTAGATTTGCTTGTGTGCTTAGGATCAATATTCTTTTGCATGATGCAAATTCGGCCAAGCTTGAGCTGTTGGACAGATGGCCTCACATTTGACTCTAAAATACTTTGATATACCAAGGAGTTCTTGGTCGACTCAATAATGGGAAGATTCCTAGGTCCTTAACCTGCAAAACAAGCCCAATACATCACCCCTCCACCACCAACAGTTGGTATGAGGTGTTTGTGCTGATATGCTGTGTGTTGATTTTACCAAACATAGCGCTGTGCATTATTGCCAAACATTTCACTTTGGTCTCGTCTATACAAAGAACATTGTTCCAGAAGTCTTGTTATTTGTTCACATGCAACTTAGCAAAGCTAAGCCATGCTGCCATGTTTGTTTGTTTTTGAGAGAAGACTCCAAACAAACCATACTTGTTCAGTCTTTTACTAATTGTACTATAATGAACTCCAACATTTAACATGCTAAGTGAGACCTGCAGAGTCTGAGATGTAACTCTTGGGTTTTTTGCAATTTCTCTGAGCATTCCATGGTCTGACCTTGGAGTGAATTTGCTGTGACATATTCTCCTGGGAAGACTGGCAACTATCTTAAATGTTTTCCAATTTTGAATAATCTTTATCATTGTAAATTGATGGACTTACAATTGTTTAGAAAAGGCCCTGTAACCCTCCCCAGTTTAATGGACATCAGCAATTGCTTCTCTAAGATGATTGCTGATGTCTTTCCTCCTTGGCATTGTGTTAACACACAGCTGAATGCTCCAGATCAGCAACCTGTTAAAACTGTGGCTTTTATTGAGGTGGTCACCCTTGTTGATAATCAATTAATCAAGGTCATTTGATTATCATCACATGTCTGCTACTTGGCTTCTTAATTCCTATGGAAGCAGTAAGGGTTTACTTAGTTTTTCACACATGATTTCTCCATTTTGGCTTTATTTTTGTAGTTCATATGAGGTTGTGTTTACCTACTCTTAAGATCTGCTAAGGAACAGATAATTGTACATTTTTGATTATTATTTCAACCTTTATAGAAATATTATGGGGATAAAAATGGTTTCACATTGCATACTATCACATCTATTACATCAAACAATTAATTTTTTTTTATATATAAATAAATGTAAATAAATTGTTTTCCATGGAACCCTTTGACATAGCATATCAACATCATAGGAACTTCCCCTCTCCTCCTCTCCCAAGTAAAAGAAATTAAAAAAAAATTTAAAAATGTGTGCCGTTGTGTTAAACCTTTTTTTTTGTATGTGCCCGTGTGTGTCTGTGATTCAAGGTGTGTGTATCTGTGTGTCAATGTGTATCTGTGTGTGTGTGTGTGTGTATGTATGTATGTATCTATCTGACACATAGATACACACACACACACACACACACACACACTAGCACATAGTGGCATACAGATACACACACTGACACACAGATACACACACCTTGATACACAGTGTGTATCTGTGTGTGTGTGTATCTGTGTGTCAAAGTGTGTGCATCTGTGTTTGTATGTGCCGGTGTGTGTATCTGTGTGTCTGTGTGTGTGTATGTATCTGACATATAGATACACACACTGGCACATAGTTGCACACAGACACACACACTGACACACAGATCCACATACTGACAGATACACACACCTTGACACACAGATACACACACTGGCACATACTCACACTGGCAGATACACTGACACTCACAGACACTGGCACACACATATACATACACAGTGACATTTACACACTTTGACACACAGATACACAAACTGGCACATACACACACGGATTAAAACATATTGGGAGATAAACACATTGACACAGGTACACACACACACACATACATGTGTTTAATTTGTTGTTCACTTACCTTTTTTCTTCAGGAGGCTCTTCAGTGCTGCTGGCTGAGGTCTGCAGCTGCTCACTCCCCGCTGCTCCCTCTCTATCCAGCCGGTGTGCTCTGTCTTGGAGGAAGTGCTGCCATTTCTTCCCAGCATCCAATACTACAGGGGTCTGTTTAGCGATACCCATCGGGTGGCACTAAATGCTTGGGCCACCTGACCGGCAAATCCCTGCGGAACCGCAATCTTGTTCTGCGGAACCCCAACAATAATTGGGAAATGCTGATATATATATGTACATATATATATATATATATATATTTATATTTATACAGTGAGGGGAAAAAGTTCTTGATCACCTGCTGATTTTAAACGTTTGTCCACTGACAAAAATGATCAGTCTATAATTTTAATGGTAGGTGTAGTTTAACACTGAGAGACAGAATAACAAAAAAGAAAAATCCAGAAAAACGCATGTAAAAAAAAAGTTAAAAATTGATTTGCATGTCAATGAGTGAAATAAGTATTTGATCCCCTATCAATCAGCAAGATATCTGGCTCCCATGTGTCTTTTATACAGGTGACGAGCTGAGATTAGGAGAACTCTCTTAAAGGGAGTGCTCCTAATCTCAGTTTGTTAACTTGTATATAAGACACCTGTCCACAGAAGCAATCAATCGATGAGATTCCAAACTCTCCACCATGGCTAAGACCAAAGAGCTGTCCAAGGATGTCAGGGACAAGATTGTAGACCTACACAAAGCTGGGATTGGCTACAAGACCATCACAATGCAGCTTGGTGAGAAGGTGACAACAGTTGGTACGATTATTCGCAAATGGAAGAAACACAAAAGAACTGTTAGTCTCCCTCAGTCTGGTGCTCCATGCAAAATCTCACCTCATGGAGTTTCAATGATCATGAGAATGGTGAGGAATCAGCCCAGAACTACACAGGAGGATCTTGTTAATGATCTCAAGACAGCTGGGACCATAGTCACTAAGAAAACAATTGGTAACACACTATGTCGTGAAGGATTGAAATCCTGCAGCACCCGAAAGGTTCCCCTGCACAAGAAAGCACATGTACAGGCCCGTCTGAAGTTTGCCAGTAAACATCTGAATGACAGAGAAGAACTGGGTAAGTGTTGTGGTGAGATGAGACCAAAATTGAGCTCTATGGCATCAACTCAACTCGCCGTGTTTGGAAGTGGAGGAATGCTGCCTATGACCCCAAGAACACCATCCATACTGTCAAACATGGAAGTGGAAACATTATGCTTTGGGGGTGTTTTTCTGCTATGGAGACAGGACAACTTCACTGCATCAAAGGATTGTGGGTGAGAACCTCCTTCCCTTAGCCAGGGCATTGAAAATGGGTCGTAGATACCATACTTAAGAACCATATTGTTAATCCCCTTATTATATTATATAAAAAGAAGGGTGGGATCTCTAGATGTATTAAGGTGTTAGAATCAATGGAACAAGATTCTCATGCTACCTCCTTCGTTAAATGGGAACAAGATATCGGGGAATCCTTTTCACTTCTGGAATGGACCAAAGCTACACTCCTAGTTAAACATTGTATACATAGTGTCTCTCTTTATGAAACACATTTAAAGATAATATATAGGTGGTATATGGTACCGACTAGACTATACAAAATATCATCTGTCCATTCTAAGAATTGTTGGAGATGTGGAATTGAGGAGGGAACTATTTACCATATATGGTGGGAGTGTCATGGTCTGGATAATATAAAAATTCAAATGTTTGGCCTTATTAATTCTATTTTTAAGGAGATAAAAGAAATTAGTCCTCAACTTTTTCTCTTTAACATTGGTTTTCCTTCGCAGGACAAATATCAAAAATATCTCTTGACTCATATATTTTTTGCTATTAAAATATGTATAGCAAGGGCTTGGAAATCTTCTACCCCATTAATATGGCACAATATTATGGAGCAAATAGAGTATCAATATAGGATGGAATCAATTCCCTTTTTTGGTACTAGAGATGTGGCCAAATTATGGTTACCCTGGACAAACAGACAGAATTCATGATTATGCATTGTGGTCCCCCCCTTACCGAGTCTCAGAGGAGTAATGTTAAAAAAAATTTTTGTTGTTTTTTTTTTTTGTTTGTTTTTTTTGTTTGTGTATTTAACTTTTTTGTTGTCCTTTTAGCATTTATCCTTTGTATCTGGTTGTCTTAAAGTGCTGGAGGATTGCCTTTGGGGTACCTCACATGCAAATGTTAAAATTTTATATAATAAAAAAAAAAAATAAAAAAGAAAATGGGTCGTAGATGGGTATTCCAGCATGACAATGACCCAAAACACACAGCCAAGACAACAAAGGAGGGGCTCAAGAAGAAGTACATTAAGGTCCTGGAGTGGAGTAGCTGGTCTCCAGACCTTGATACCATAGGAAATCTGTGGAGGGAGTTGAAGGTTCGAGTTGCCAAAAACGTCAGCTTTGAAACCTTATTGACTTGGAGAGAATTTGCAAAGAGGAGTGTGACAAAATCCCTTCTGAGATGTGTGCAAACCTGGTGGCCAACTACAAGAAACATCTGACCAATGTGATTGCAAACAAGGGTTTTGCAATCAAGTACTAAGTTGAAGGGGTCAAATACTTATTTCACTCATCAACATGCAAATCAATTTATAAAACTTTCTTGACATGCATTTTTCTGGATTGTTTTTGTTTTGTTATTCTGCCTCTCACTGTAAAAATACACTTACCATAAAAATTATGGACTGATCATTTATTTTTCAGTGGGCAAACATTCAAAATCAGCAGGGGATCAAATACTTTTTCCCTCACTGTATATAAGTTTTTTACCTTATATTTAGGATAGTGTTTCACTAATCAGTCTGACTTCTGCCTGAGGAGTCTTTATCCTGACTGGACTGCATAATTATTCGGTATGGTGCTAGGGTTGGTGTTATTCCAACCTCTCTGTAAGGACGGCATCTGTCTCCGAGTATTCTCTGAATTTAATAAGTCAATTGAATTCTATTACTGAAGAAAAAATATTTTGCACATGTATTATCAGAAAAGTATGGATTTGTACACAGTTGTAGATAGTATTTTTAATATTTTCTTACTTCTTTTTACTATATTGATGATGCTGCTGACACCTGGTGGTTAACATACACCATGTCATGATTTATCAGAGTTATTCACTAATGTGAGAATTCAAAGTGAATTGAAAGTGGTTTTCACATTTTAGGCCAATGTAGCAGAACTGGAAGCATAGCTGACTTGAGATCTCTGACTGAGATTTTCCAGTTTGGAAATGTTTGCCTTAAATTTGAAATTCGGTTTTAATTTGCTTTGAATTCTTACTTTAGGGAAAAATGCTATATATCTTTACATCAGCTCAATATAGTTAGTATGATTTTAACCTGTCATTATATAAGATGATTTTAGAACCAGTGACCTATAAGAGTGATAATAGATTAATCAGTTATTTATTTCACTTGCAATGTAAATTATTATATGAAACTTTCATTTATTTATTTTTATAGCATTAGTAAATGTTATGTTTTAATTTTCAACACTTCTGGTATTGGCCTTATCAGGAAATGTATTAAGCATATAGTGGCTCACTGAACTGAGCACCAGTATGTTTAGCAAGAATAACAACATTAACTCATCCACTACCAGGTTATATTCCTTTAAAAAAAAATGCAAAAGCTTTATTTGAACTAGCAGATGCATAGCTACTACATAAACCAAGGATAACATAGCAACTTTGTGCAAATGTTGCTGTTCAGTAATGCAAAAAAATATTGTGTCAATTTACTACATTTTGTAAATTTTTTTATTATTATTTCATTCTTTACAGAAATATGATAGGGATAAAAATGGTTTGACATTGCATAATATCACATCTATTACATCAAACGATTTAAAAAAAAAATTGCATTGAAGTAGAAATAATATTTTTGTCAGGCAAGTGTTTATAATAAGTGTCCCAAAATATTTAAGAGTTGATTGGAGCAGATAAAAGGGTCATTATTCTAGTACCAATAAAAAGTCTGTTTGTGTGTCATTAGGAATATTTGCTTCCAGTCATTATCTGTGAGGGATAAGTTGAGTTCATGGAACTATTTTCAGACACTGAAATTCCCGAACACCGCTGGACTTCTATGATCGCCTGTGTTCGGTTCTACAACACTTAGAAAGACACTGTTCGATGGAAATATTCCCATGGACAAGAGAAACAAGCTCCAGGCTAAGAACATTGACTATGTTCGGTAGTTTGTTCGGTTTTAAACTACCGAACTAAACCGACCGCAAGCCCTGTTTCTCTAGAACTGTTTTGGGCATGGGACCATGCATGCGGTCAGTCAAATTATGACTTCCTAGAAATTCCTTAACCCCTGAACTGATCTGTGTGATTTTTGGATATGTTGGTCACCTAGATCAGGGCTATATGGGATGTAACTGTTGTGGGGTTTTATGTATTTTTAAGGTACTTTTGGGGTGTTTGGGAAATGTGTGTTTTTTTGTGCCTGGAAATAATTGAGTTTAATACAGTGCTT